TATATTCTTGGTGGTGGCAAAATTGACAAAACACTCTCTCATGCAATCAAAAATGTGTACTATGTGAATGGCTTGAAATATAGCTTGTTGAATGTGTCTTAAATCTGTGATAAGGAAAAATAAAGTGAAGTTCTTGTCCAAATCTTGCACTTTCACAAAATCTTAAAACTGGTGAAATGGTATTGATAGCTAAGAGATTCAAGAATATCTATGTTGCAGACCTTGATTCACTGAATGATGGTGATCTAACATGCCTAAGTGTCATTGATGATGATGCTGAGTTATGTCGAAGATGACTGGGGCATGTGAGCTTTTATATGTTGAACAAGTTGATTATGGAGGACTTGGTTCATGGGCTGAAGCAACCAACACTGCTTGCTACTTGATTAACAAGTGCATGATCAGGTCCTTTCTCGAGAAGTCTCTCTATGAACTGCTCAATGGGAGAAAACCCAATCTAACTTACCCGAGAGCCTTTGGATGCAAAATGTTGTGTTCTCAACAATGGTGGAAACACATAACAAAGAAGATGAAGATGGAGAATTCACAAATTCTCCTGGTGAAGCTACAGATAGTGCAAATGGAAAGACTGATTTGATGAGTCAAGCAGAGCGATGAAGGAGATGCAGTAGAATCTCCAAAGGTGTAGAGGAACTCGGTCCCTCTATCACCTCGAATTAAGCTGAACATAGGGTTGTTGATGCTGCATTAGGTACTCCTGATGTAGAACAAAAGAGTGGAAGTCATAATTCTGTTGATGTCAATGATGATTCACATATGGAGGAATCTGGTCCTTCAAATTCTGAAGTTCAAGTATCCAACTAGAAGCAAAAGAGTTCACATCCCTTCAAAATGTAATCACATCCTTAGACTCTGGTATTCAACCTAGTTCTAAGGCAAGGAACATGTTTTCCCTCTCAACGTTCTTGTCTCAAATCGAGCCTAAGAACATCAAAGAAGCATTGAAAAATGCTAACTGGATAGCTTCTATGCAAGAAGAACTCCATCAGTTGAGAGGAACCAAGTGTGGCACCTGGTCTCTAGGCCTTCATACAGAACAGCGATTGGAACCTGGCCCAAAACACTCTCACTTGAAGGGTGCCAAGGGAGTTTTGAGGTATCCTAAGGGAAAGCAGGACCTGGTCCTCATCTATTTTTCAGAAGATTCTTTTGACTTGGTTGGATATGCTGATGTTGATTATGTTGAATATCTAGTAGATAGAAAAAGCACATCTAGAACGACACATTTTCTAGTGTCATGCTTGATCTCATGGGGTACAAAAAAACAAATTATGTGGCTCTTTCTACTAATGAAGTTGAATACATGGTTGTTGCTTCTTGTTGTGTTCAACTACTACAGATCAAGCAACATCTTAAAGACTTTGGTGTATTTACAGCTTGAACCCGGTACAATACAAGAGGACAAAGCGCATTGATGTACGACATCACTTTTTGAGGTATAATATTGAAAAGGTTCTAATTATTATAAAGTACGGGAAGACGGAGGACTAGGTAGTAATCATCTTCACTAAGGCGCTGAGCAGTGAACACTTTGAAAGTTTATCCAGCTTAACTAAGGACCTGGTCCCTCGATGATTGGCTATGTTAAGAAGGAAAGGTACAACGCTAAAAAGTGTCTTTTGGTGACATCTAACTCAAATCTATACTATTACTGGTATACATACATGGCAGTTTCAGGACAAAACAAGTAAGAGTGACATTGCCCTTCTAGGAGTCTTTGCTTAAATTTTTAAAAACCGTCAAGGAACCTTGTTCTTATGACTCAGGTTAGTAGTCTCTTAAATACTTATATACCTTTTTAAACTACTGAAATATAATGTCATTAATTTATTCCCATCTCTCTCCAAATTTTGAAGTTCAAAATGTTAAACCTTTTCTGAACTGACCTGTTGCCCCGAAAAACCATTTCCTTCTCTCACACCCAACCATAACCGATTCTTTTCCTCAAAAATCAACCTTAACTCAAAAATAATCCGTCTCTCCAAATATGCCAGAAGTGAATCCAACTCTTTCACCTTCCAAAATCCTAACTACATCTGAATCGAAACCCAAGAAGTCTTTGGTAGATTTTGATGGGACTTTAACTGAAAAGGAATGGGGTAGATCTAATATTTTGGAAAGTGAGGCTGAAATTGATGTTGGGTTTGTAGAAGCCTTGAAGGATGGAGGAGTTGGTGAATGTGCCGGAAAAAGGGGGAACTGAATGAAGGACCTGGTCCCTCAAATCCTTCTTAGGATGCTAATTCTGATGATGGTTTTTTTCTCTTGGGTTCTATGCTTAAACGAATCTCTGATCCAGTAAAAAGGATTGAGAAAAGTAGGCTAATTGATGATGAAGTGGTGTGACCTGCTGATGTGCTGATTGTGGAAAAGAGAATGAAGTGGAAAATCTCCATTTGTGAGAAAGAATTCAAAAAAATTAAGAAAATAAAGTTGGCTAAGAAAGATGTAATAGATGATAAGGGTGAACAGATTGAGAAGAAGAAGAGGGACATGGCCGCTTAGGGAAAGAAAGGGTAGTGTGAGTGAGGAACCTGTTTCCTTATAGAAGGAAAAGGTTAAGTTATCAGGTTTGGAGAGGTAGAAGACTCTGATTTCTCAAAAAGTGTTGTTAGGCAGAGTGTTGAATATGATATTACTGAAAACTGGAGGAACTTCTTGACATTGTTGAGATCCAAAAATAGAATCACCTCTTTGTTCCTCCAAGTCCCAACGTTTATGAAGAAGAAGTAAAAACTTTTATGTTGTATGTGTTACTTTGATGCTATGTGTGTATGAGACTGAGTTTGTTCTTGATAAGGAGAAGCTTGGGGAGATTCTAGGTGATATGATTGATGGTTCAGCCTGCTCAGAAAGGTAGAGAACCAGGTCCCCGTGGACCCTTGGCAGAATAGAATGCTAAGTTGAAGGGTGAGAATGAAAGATTGAGGAAACAGATGGAGGAACTGAGAGAGCAGATGATCATTGATCAAATGATTGTGAATGAACGAATTGACAAGCTCATCAAAGCCTTATCCCCTTACTTTTCTTCCTGCCTAGTGATCCATGCCTTTCACTCCTTCCAAATTCTCTCGAATTCCTATCTTCTTTTGTTCCCTATGTTTGATGACATTGGTACTTTAGTTGTTTAAATTGTCATATTCTGTATTGTTGAAACTACTGTGTTTTTGTTATAATTACTCTACTATGGGCAATTACTCTATTTTGTGCAATGACATTCACTTGTGGTTCTTGTTATTGTTTATGTTGTGTTGCCCAAGTAGCCTGAGTTAATGTTACTGAACTTCTTTTTGGTTGTGCTTCTTCTGTTATTCTTTTCAATGATGCCAAAAGGGGGAAGTTATATAGGTGTCAGCATGAGGGAGGAATAGAATCGAATTTGATATGTTGTGTTGTGCATGAAAGATAGCTCTGCTTCGCAGGGGGAACGTTGTTGATAACATGTTAATTCAAGGTCTGATCTGCAGGGAAACATGTGAGGAATCTGGTTCTCAAGGGGAACATTAATTTTGGGTTTGTCATAATCAAAAAGGTGGAAATTGATAAGTTATGTTATTTTGTGTTTTGAAGATTTGCCAAATAATCTTGAAGAACCAGTTGTGATCAGTTCCTTTGGGCTGGTTCTCATGGGGAATATGGCTAATTCATACGGGGACAATGTGGAGATTTGGTTCTCACGGGGGGATATAAATTCTAATTACAATTCTAAGTTTTTCATCATCAAGAAGGGGGAAATGGATAAGTTATGCGTCTTTTGTTTTGATAATTTGACAAACTTCATGAGAGAACAAGATAAGGAACCTGATACGATTAGTTCTCTTGCATTCAGAGTAACTAGTTAGATGTCTGGTTCAATTCTCAACGAAATCAGATAAGGAAACAACAGATCTGGTCGTCGTATAGTCAACTCTACAGCTTTAAACATTCTCAAGACCTTAAGATCACAAAGTTCCCGGTTGGGATCCAGTTTGGATATGGCTTAACTCCTCAGAGTGGAAGGAACAGCTTAGGGACCAGGTCCCTACCAGTTCCTGAGGTGACTGTATGAAGTCAACTCTCCAGTTGGAAAGTTGTTGCCTGCACATACTACAGTACATGAACAGTGCAACAGTCAACTTTCTGTGGAAAGCTTTTTACCTACCTTGCTTACATCATCCAAGTGATGTCACAAATGAGATATTAACATCAAGCAAAGGTAAAACAAATCACTTGCACATTCAAGAACTCATCAAGCATTCTCTCAAATGTGTGTCCATCTTACAAGTGATTCTCAAGGGCATCAAGAAGAAAGAACAACATAGCAATAGACCAATACCCCCATATTGAGTTATTATATGTCCTTAGTTGTGTTGTATCTTTGTTGAAGCTCAGACTTGTAATTCCTACTTAGCTTACTTAGAAGCATTATGTAGGAAACCCTTTGTAAATCATAAACCCTTGTGTTTGTGTCTTGGCTAGAGTTAGTCGAGTTGTGAAGTCTTTGTAATAAAGTTATTACAAAGTGGCTTGTAATAGTGTTGTTACAAGTTAGTGAGTGATTAAGTCTTTGTAATAGAGTTATTACAAAGTGGCTTCTAATAGTGTAGTTATAAGTTAGTGAGGGATTAAGCGGTTAATTCCTAGGTTACAATAGGTTGTAATCTGAAGATTACTCAGTAGTGAAGTTGAAATCCTACACCGGTAGGCAGTGGTTTTTAATCCCGTGATCTGGGAGTTTTCCATGTAAAATTCCTCTGTGTTCTCTATTTACTGCCGATTTACTGTGTGAATAGATAGAGAACCTGGTTCTCTATATAGTTTGGTGGATGCTTTGTTTCTATCAGAAATGTTCGACAATTGTTAAGCATTATGCTAAAAAGGCATAGGAGCCAGCTGCATGTATTTACTAAGATTGATTCAAGGAAAGTTTTCATCATCTGTGCCTTGAAGGTCGATTATTCACTAGCCTCCCTTAAAATTCAGAGCGTGAAAGCTATAACTCAAACGAAATTACAAAGGGCCAATCCTAATTATATTCACAAGATACAAATCATCCAGTATCACATGACTATCTAATGTAAATAGAAGCATGGGATTGTGATTAGGAAATTGCAAATAAAGTATCTCCATTATATGGGTTCACAACATTGACTTGTTCTAAAACAGCTAGGCCCATTACACAAATAGCCATTCTATCAATCAATCAACTCTATCGAACCTTGTTACGCATACAACCACTCTATTGATTACAACCAAACTGCTTCGCAAATCTGATATATCTACGGCTTTCCGTTATTACAACTTTAATTTCCAAATGAATCATCAGGCAATTCATTAGTCTTTCAATACAAAGTCAAGTGTTAAATGGGAAGGCTATCTATATCGATATTAATTTTTTTGTGCCTATTTACACTCCATACCTATCTAACATTAATCAGATTCATGACTATATTAAAACATAACCAATCAACGAAATTTGATGGAGCAGAAACCAGAGCAACAGAATCCTGCTTTTTTCAACACTTAAGTCCCCAAATAAAACAGAAGCAAATCACCCTGAAGTTAAATAAATTTATATTATTAATCGATAGACTACTCAGAAAAAGATTCAAATATGTAAAAACAACAATGATTTGAAACTTCATAGAGAAACAGAAGGATTAATTCATGTTTTTCAAAATAAAAATGAGTTCAAATGAATACCTGGTTGCGCAAGAACCATTTTAGAAAGCCAAATAAATACAAAATAGGATAAAGTTGAAACTCAGCAACACAGCCCAACCAAACTCAGCAAGTAAATAGCTCATTTAGCAGCAACGACAGTACAGTGATTCCACAGCTCAAAACGACTTTGAGAAACCTCAGGAAGAAAGAAATCGAGCAAGCTGCTCAAGGACATGTTGGCACGTCCATTAACGATCAATTCGTTGGACTTTTGTTCTGATTTTAGAACTTCATAGATCGAATATCATTTTTCGACAAGCAAAGTAAACGTATGTATATGAATGGATGAAGTACGATGAGAAAGAGTAGAAAGAAGAAGTAGAAAGAAACGGGTGGCGGCTGGTTGTCTTAGAGGGAGAGGGGTCTGTGAGCCGCTAGGGTTTTTCAGTGGGGGTTGGGGAATCCGTCTCAATGTTCTGCCGTTTTTCTCCATTCCTCAAATGAAAGGGATTAGGTTTTTTTTTTGAGATGAGGGAGAAGAGGAGATGAAATAGGGCCCGTTTGGGTTTAATGGGGAAGGACCGGATTTGGGCTTGGTCTGGACTAGGGGGTTGATTTGGATTTAACAGAAAATGGGCTCAAACTGGCCCAATTCGAGCTAATAAAGCTCCAACAGCTAAGGCTTCTTTTTTTAAAAATTTCATTTTTAGCCAATAATTAGACTAAACTAATGTGTAAACTAAAATTTATAAAATTAACTCTCTTACTATTTTATCTACTAATTAGTTAGGTAATTACCTTAACAATGTAAATTAATAAAAATTATTAATTTAAAACTAAAGGCTAAAATGTGAAAATGACTGTGGTATTTTGTGATTTTTTTTTTCGTTTGATAATGCATTTAATTGACGTAATTAAATCCTAAATACAATTAAGATCTAAAATTCTACGAGATAAGGAATTAAAAAAGTATTCTTATGATTTTCTAAAAACAACTCTAAATATGCATGAACAATGCAAATAAATGCAAGAAAAATTCCTAAAATTCAATAAAAGCGATTAATTTTTTTTTTTGACTTTTTAGGAGTAATTTCCTATGTGGGTCAAAAATCAGGTGCTCACAGTGAACAAAATATTTGAAAAACAAATAGGAAAAACCATGGAAATTTACATAGATGATATGCTGGTTAAGTCTTTGAATGCAAATGATCATCTTAAACATCTGCAAGAAACCTTTGACATCCTAAGGAAGCACAACATGAAGCTGAACCCCAATAAGTTTGCATTCAGAGTCAGTTCCGGTAAGTTCTTGGGGTTCCTGGTGTCGCAAAGGGGGATCGAAGTCAATCCTGATAAGATTAACGCCATCGAAGACATTCCTAACTAGCTATCAAACGTGAAAGAGGTTCAAAGGTTGATAGGAAGACTGGCTTCTTTAAGCAGATTCATTTCCCGGTCGTCAGAAAAATGTGATCACTTTTTTTCACTTCTCAAAAAGAAGAACAACTTCGAATGGACTTCGGAATGCCAGCAGCCTCTGAAGGATTTAAAAAGGTATTTGTAAAGCCCTCCATTATTATCGAAGCTGAAAGAAAGCGAGCAACTGCTGATTTACTTAGCGGTCTCGGAAGTAGCAATAAGTGTCATTTTAGTCCGTGAAGGCAAAGGTATGCAATATCATATTTATTATGTTACTAAAATTTTACGCTACCCACATCTGAAAAAATTAGCCCTAACTCTCGTGGTCGCTGATCGGAAGCTTAGGCCTTATTTCAAATGTCATCTGATAGCCTGGTGACAACCTTTTCCCTGCGAAATATCCTTCACAAACCTGAAATTTCAGGCCGACTGGCCAAGTGGTCAGTCGAAATGAGTGAATTTGACATAGAATACAAACCTAGAACTGCGAAAAAGTCACAAATTTTGGACGATTTCAGTTCGGCACTGCTACCTTTGGCTATAAAAGAAGCAGTAATGGTGTCAGAACCAATGCCAGGAGTTTAGACCTTGTGCACGGATGGAGCTTCCAATGTGAAACGGTTTGGGCGCAGCGTAGTGCTAATCACACCTTCGGGAGAAATCCTAATACAGGACATAAGAATTGTTCCTCTACAATGAGCCGAGTATAAACCTTTGATTGCAGGACTAGAGTTATCCCGGGGACTGGACTCCGAGGTCATAGAAATCAAATATGATTCCCAATTGGTAGTAAATCAGGTATATGGGATCTTCGAAGCAAAAGAGGAACACATGCAATAATATGTAGTGAAAGTCCAGACTCTGCTCGCACGATTCAGGGAATGGTCAATTACCCACGTCCCGAGGGAAGAAAATGTGGAAGCAGACACACTAGCCAATTTGGGATTGTCCATGAAAATGAAGGGATCGAACTCCAGTACGGTCGTGCAGCTTATACATTCGGTATTGGTCACAGATGGCTATTATGAAGTGAACGCGACCAATTTGGTCTGGGGCTAGGGGAATGAGATTATTGACTATATTGAGCACGGAAAGTTACCCCAAGATTCCAAGGCATCCCAGGCAATGCGCGCTAAAGCAGCTCGATACTGCTTTAGGGGAGGCCAATTGTATAGAAAATCCATTCAAGGCCCGTTGGCCCGGTGCGTGGAAGCCTCCAAAGCTAATTACATCATGGGAAAACACTCAGGTGTAGATTCCTTGGTATTAAAGCTGATTAGGGAAGGATACTACTAGCCCTTGATAGAACAAGATGCTAAGGATTATGTTCAGAAATGCAATAAGTGTCAATGCCATGCACCGTTAGTACACCAACCGGCAGAGTTACTACACTCGATTCTATCACCTTGGCCATTCATGAAGTGGGGAATAGACATAGTCGGTCCACTGTCGCTGGCCCTCGGTAAGGTAAGATTTCTCTTGATTTTAACTGACTACTTTTCAACTAGGTTGAACCAGGTCCTTACCAGAATATTGGCGAGCGCGAAGTGGTAGATTTCTTGTGGGAAAATATAATTTGTAGGTTCGGGATTCCAAAAGAGATAGCCTACAACAACGGGTCATAATTTATAGGTGCAAATGTCACAAAATTCCTTAAAGACCTGAAAATCAAAAGAATCACATCATCACCTTATCACCCGAGTGCAAACGGTCAAGCAGAATTAACAAACAAGGTAATTATCCTAAATCTCAAAAAGAGATTGGAAGCAGCCAAAGGCAAATGGCCGAAGAGCTGCCGGGAGTACTATGGGCGTATCGAACGATTGTCAAATCAAGCACGGGTGAGACTCCTTTCTCTCTCGTATACGACGTAGAAGCCTTGATCTCGGTGGAAGTAGGAGAACCTGCCCTGAGATACTTTCGAGTGAATGAAGAAACAAACATAAAGCATTATTGGTCACATTAGAGCCGCTTGATGAACCCAGGACCTGGCGTATATAAGGATGACAGCCCAAAGATAGAGAATGGAAAGATATTACAATTGAAGAGCCAACCTCCATTATTTCAAAGTAGGAGACTTGGTTTTAAGGAAAGTAACTCAAAACACCCAGGAGATCAACGCAAGAAAGCTAGGTCCAACGTGGGAAGGCCCCTACCGAGTTTTGGCTGTCACCGGGAAATGATCATAAAAATTGGAAAATCAAGACGGAGTAAACGTGGCACACATTAAAAGATATTATTGTTGATGAGCACCGCTATACTGAAAGTATGTGCTGCACTCTTTTTCCCATTGTCCAATTTTTGTCCCAATTAGATTTTTCTAGCAAGTTTTTTAATGAGGCAACAACAAAAAATATACTACAAAGGAAACATCGTCGGCAGAAGTAAGACCTTTAAATAACAAGGCATGGAAGTGGATGACTGCTATGGGATGGTTAGATAATCTTTCGCTCGGTAGCAAAGTTACTATCGAAAAGTAAAGTTTGCTATCGGGCCAAAGGTTACCCGACCGTTCACGAGTGTAAGCCACTTGAAGGTGCTTAGATAGTCTTTGTCTCTATAGCAAACTTCCTAATGGGAAGTGAAGTTTGCTGTCAAACCAGGGATTATCCAACCATTTACTAGTGGAATCTTCAAAAGAGTAAGACTTCTAGGGTTCAAATTTGCATTCTTTGCATTCGAACACTTGGGAGGGAGAATGATATGAGAATACAGAAATATGACTGCCACATCAACCGGGACTACAAAATCCGGGACAAAGTTGTATTATCGGGATTGGGGACTGTGCGTCCAGCCCGTAGAAACAAGATGTATAAATTAGCCATAAGTAATGGCAATTAGGGACATGTATAATGGGGCTAAGACTCGGGTTAAGATAGTAGGAGGTGACTCTGAGCATTTTTCGGTTGAAATAGGGTTACACCAAGGCTCTGCGCTCAGTCCATTCTTATTCGCTTTAGTGATGGATGCATTAACAAACCATATTCAAGGGGAGGTGCCATGGTTCATGCTATTTGCCGATGATATAGTTCTGATTGATGAGTCACGAGCTGGTGTTAACGAGAGACTAGAAGTTTGGAGATAGACTCTTGAGTCTAAAGGTTTCAAGATGAGCAGTACGAAGACAGAATACCTGGAGTGTAAGTTCGGCACTGAGCGGGGGGAAGTGGGCGCGGATGTGAGGCTTGAATTATAGGTTATCCCAAGTAGAGGCAGCTTCAAGTACCTTGGGTCGGTTATCCACGGGGAAGGGGAGATCGATGAGGATGTCGCACATCGTATTGGGGTAGGATAGATGAAGTGGGGGTTAGCATCCGGAGTTTTGTGTGACAAGAGAGTGCCAACGATACTCAAAGGTAAGTTCTATAAAGCGGTGGTTAGACCGGCCATGATGTATGGGGCTAAGTGTTGGCCTGTTAAGAACTCACATATCTAAAAGATGAAAGTAGAAGAAATGAGGATGTTGAGGTGGATGTACGGGCACACTAGGATGGACAAGATTAGAAATGATAATATTCGGGAGAAGGTGCACGTGGCTCCCATTGATGACAAGATGCGGGAAGCGAGGCTCAGATGGTTTGGACATGTACAGAAGAGAATCCTAGATGCTCCAGTAAGGAGGTGTGAGCAACTGCTTGTGGAGGGCACGGGAAGAGGTAGAGGGCGGCCTAAGAAGTATTGGGGAGAAGTGATCAGGAAGGATATGGCGAGGCTTTAGATTTCCGAGGATATGACACTCGATAGGAAGTGTGGAGGTCGAGTATTACGATTGTAGGCTAGGAGGTAGTTGAGTCTTGCGTTACCTTGTACTATTGTGAGCCTAGTCTGGTAAGGTTTTGTCTGAAATAGCTAGGGGCATTGTTGTGTCTTACTATTTTCTCTTACTAGCCATCATTTTTGTTTCGCATTTTGTCTTTTGCATTTTATGTTCCTATTTTCCTATGATCTCTGTGGTGAAACTAATATTCTCTCTTTTTTATTTTTCTTATTATCTTGAGCTGAGGGTCTTTCGAAAACAGCCTCTCTACTCCTTCGGGGTAGAGGTAAGGTCTGCGTACATACTACCCTCCCCATACCCCACTTGAAGGATTTTACTGGGTT